TGCCCCTGGCCCCGGGGGAAACGTCCACACGGAGGGGTCTCTGAGATGCCAGCGCTGAGGTGGGTGGTGTGAGCGCCAAGCTCGCTGGCTGTGGAGGCGGAGGGTCCCGGGGCACAGACCCCGCACTCCTGACCCTGGGCCGATGTTGTACTGCCTGGGAGCCGCCTGATCTGCTCAGGGAAGTAAAACTGACTTTGGAAAGGCGTCGCCTGCCTCTTTGGACCGTGGACACCAGACACTGCAAGCGCACCTTGCTCCCCCTTTCTCCCCACAGCCCACCCTGGGGAGGCCACGGATGGCGGGGTTCTCCGTGCACTTTGAAACTGGCCACCTTTTCAATCCTGGGAGCGTCATGTGGCCACCTCTATCCAGCGTGGCCTCCTTAGTGGTGTGGTCCCCCAGCCATCACCTGTCCTGCACCCCTTCTGAGGTCAAGGCCCAGGGATGCCCCCCCCATTACACCACGGACGCCCAGACTTCCACACCTCCCTCGCTTCCCAGCCCCTCACCCTCAGCCCATGAGGACGGGCGTCGTCCAAGGATGACATCCTGGGGCCCCGTGCTGCTCTGGGGGCTGGAGTCTCCGCGGTGGTGACGTCACCAGGCTCCTTTGGTTATGTGAGTGTCACCATGGCGAGCGCCCGGAGGTTCTGCATGGACCAGATGCAAGATTCGGTCCTGCTGGAAGAGCCGAAGCCCAAAGCCTGTTTTAAGGTGTTCCTTGGCTTTTTGCTTCCTTTGGTGTGACCGATTCGGATTTATAAAAGAGAGATCTTTGGAACAAACTGTGTGGCATGCGCTTATGTGTCTGATGGGCAAAACAAACAAACTCAGATAAAAATTTATTTATAACGTATAACATTTTATAAATAGACAAAGGTAAACTATTTCATACTAAAATAAAATTTTAAATGTATTTTTAAAAAATCTGAATGGTTTTACTATAATAATGTCATTGTAACTGTTGTGCTAAAATGCTGTTTTGCTCCATATTTTAAATTTTCCCTGTAAAACTTTATTACTGTTATCTGACAACATTTTACCAAAATGTGACTTCTAACAGACAACTGAAGAAGTATGTTACGGTCGTAAACCATCACTTAGGGTACAAATGAGAGGTGACACCAATGCCTGACGCTAGTGACGACACTAATGGAAGAGGAGGCTGCTCCTAGTCCTGCTTCGTATTTTCAAAGTGCCTAATATTCAAAAGATTACAACAGCAGAGACTAAAGGCTGCTGCTCCCACCCAAAGGCTGATGCAGCTCAGCTGGGCATCCAGCAGCCGGGGCTGAGAGACCAAAGCTAGCAGGCAGCTGGGCTGAGGGGACAGCCAAGATTTCCGCCTGCCCTCCAAGTCCACAGGGGCCCCAGGCAGGAGGGGGCCCTCTGAAGGAGCCTGCAACTCAGGGAGCCACCCACCTCCTGAGCAGGGAGACCGCGGGATCCCAGGGACAGCAGTCAGTGTGGACTGTGCCAAAGCCAGGGTCGCAAGCTGTAAGTGTCCCCATGTCTTCATGGGGGCCACACGGTCGGGCAAGGCCGTGGTCCGTCCTGGCTGATGACAGGATGCAGGTGCCGAGGGCTCTGCACATGGCCCAGAGGAGCCCGAGGAGCCTTAGCTGACCTTGAAGATGCAAACAGAGAGAGTTAATTCTGATTGACACAACCCTTCACACCCAGCCGGCGAGTATAACCAGAATATATACAACATGCGAGAGAAACCACGCACTATCTAAGCTCAAGGGTCTGGTTTGTTTCACAAAACACCACGGTCTCCAGGTGCATCCACTTTCCTACAAAGGACTCAGGTTTATCTTGATGGCAGAGCAGTACTCCGTGGTGAATAAAGACATTGTCTTTATCCATTCTTCTCTTGATGGTCATATGGGCCACTTCTAAGATGTAGCTCCCTCGAGCTGTGCTGCTGTAAACGTGTGTATGCATATTATAAATGAAGAAAAAAATAAAGGACAGATGAGAAGTAGAGAGACAGCTCTTTCTGACATGGGAAGCGGCCTGAGGGAAGGGGGGAGGGACAAGGGATGAAAAAAGGGGTGAAGATGTCTTGCGTGCGTGTGCCAACTCCACACGGGTGTGAGCATTGTGCACTGCACACGTGACTCACAGGAATACTCACAGAGAGAGAACAACAGCAAACTGAACTAAGGCCAGGCACTGGCACGCTGCTGCTGGGAGCCAGAGCCCCTCTGCGGGTCAGGCTGCTGCTCCTGCTCGCGTGCCTGCGGGTGCCAGCGGCCTGAAGCCTCTGCCAGGGACTCCTCATGATCTGGGCTCTGCAGCTCTGTGTCTTCTCTGCCCCCATGGGGAGCCCTCAGCCCAGCCTCCACTTGGGACCTCCTCAGGCCCACTCCAAGGAGGGTCTCCTGGCTAGGGGCCCACAGTTCTGCTGCACCCCATTTTCTCAGGATGGGGCCATCTGATGCCCTCAGCGCCCGAGCGCCAGGAGGTCAGCCTCCCACACCCCACACAGACAAGCTGCCCCCTCCCAGGGGCGCCAGATCTCGTTATGTGGACACAGGAAGGGATGTGCTGGACTAAGCTCATGGCCTTTGCATTGAGCTACATCCCCGGGCCTTTTTAATTTTTATTTTGAGACAGCATCTCTCAAAGCCACTAAGTCACCCAGGCTGGGCTGGAACATGCCACCCTCCTGCCTCAGCCTCCTGAGTCGCTGGGTCTGGTTTCTGGAGGGTCTATAAGAGTGATGGCCCAGAACACACACACACATGCATACACACACACACACACACACACACACGCGCGCACACACATGTGCGCACACACACACACACACACATGCACGCACGTACTCCCTCTCCCCTGCCCTGTCGGTTGGCGCCCCAGGCTCTCCCATCGAGACAAGGGTCACTAGATGCTGGCCCTCGAGCCTGCACCTCAGAACCATGAGCCAAAGCAAACCTCTTTCCTTTCTGAAGCCACCCGCCTCAGGTGCTCTGTCACAGGAACTAAAACTGACGTTTCTCAGCAAACCTCGGGCTGTGCTGGCCTCAATGCCACTGTGCTCCCATTGAGAGTGGGGCTTTGCTCCTAGAGAAATGACATTCCCGTGCGACACGGCACAGCCCTTACAAACCTTCTCGGAGCTGTAGAAAGACTGTCATCCTCCTCACTTGGCCCATGTCACTTGCCTGATGCGTTTGATCCTGTTTCCTGCTTTTCTAAGGATCGGCGCACAGAAAGGCTGCGGCATGTGCGCTGACTTTGCAGCCAGCCCCTTAGCAGCCCCCGCACGACCCAGCTCCCGGCCGGCTCAGGTGCTGTGGACATCTTCCTCCCTGTCTGTCGGGCTGGATTTCAGCCGAATTCCTTCCTCCTGGCTCACACTCCTCTTCGGGGCACTGCCCGTGTCCTGAGCCACCCCAGCCCCCAAGTCCTGGAAGCACCTGAGAGTTTTTGGATGGCAGGGTGAACTTTCTGGGCCTGAAGGGACACTGTCTGCGTCCTGCCCTGGGCAGAGGTGACCCAGCAGTGTCAGCAGCACCCACGGCACTGTCCGAGGGTCAGACAGCTGTGCGGGGCAGGGCTGATGGAGCCCTGTGATGGTACAAAGGCTGCACCCTGCTCACCACCTCCCGTCTCACCCATCCCACTTGTTCTCCTTCACGGCCTTGACCCCTGCAGAGCCCCGCAGGCCTGCAGAACAGCATCGAAGACCAGACAGGGAGGCCCTGCCCCCGGGATGGGACAGACAGGTGGGTTCCACCTAAGCTGAGGTGCTCTCCCGTCAGAATGGCTGTTTCTTAAATCTTTCTTAAAAACAAGTATTAGGCTGGGTGTGGTGGCACCTGCCTATAATCCCAGCACTTGGACGCTGGCGAGGCCTGAGGATCGCCACAAGTTCAAGGCCAGCCTGGGCTACATAGTGAGTTCAAGGCCATCCTGAATTGCATAGCGAGACCCTGTCTCAAAGCTGGCCTCCCCATCCCAAATATCAGCAGGTTGTCAAGAAGAGCACGGCTCGGTGAAAAGGAAAACCAGTGCCCCTGGAGGTGCCAGCATCTCTTTCCTGGGGGCTGGGAAGTCCCCTGAGGACCCTCATGTCTGGGAAACATGGCTTCCCTCCAAAATGGTGAGCAGATGGGGCTAGCTTGGGAGAGAGCAGGTCTTCGAGGCGGCTAGAGCTTGGAAAGCCGGAGAGGCATTTGCACCTGGGCATCTCCGGTGGGTAGAGCAGGAAGCCTAGGGGGTGGGGGCACCATGGCACCTGTGACGGGGCTCCTGAACCACCTGGGGCCCAGGCAGCGGTGCAGACCTCCTGGAGGTCTGAACAGAGAGGGAAGATGCCCCCCACTGCCAGTGTATCTGACGCTCGCTCTGCGTGTCCCCAGTACTCCAGCGTACCCCACCACCCTGGTGATCCCAGGACACTGCCTGTCCCCACCTCCCGAACTCTCCTGGCAGGAAGGGTGCAAGAGGCCAAGCCCACATCTGCCCCACGTCTGTATCCCCGAGCCTCTGTACCCCTAGACTCAAGACGCCTCACTGTCTGTGTCTGTCTGTCTTTCCCAGCCACCTTTGAGGGTTCCCCGGACCTGGGGCCTTCCCAGTTCTGGGCTTCTTCCCAAGACACCACAGCATCCTCTGGCCCCAGGCTCTGCCCCAGGCCTGACTGGCAGCCAGTAGGTTTGGAACTGACCCTAGGCAGGCAGGGGCAGGCAGGGGCAGGCAGGGCCCTGAGGACCATCTGAGGGAGCCGGAGTGAGGGCCTGGGGAACTCAGCGTGGCCACGCACCCTGCCTATCCCCTCCTCTGTCCCCTTCTGACCAGCCAGACACAAGCCCAGTGGACCCAGTGGCTGGCTCTCTGCCGGATCAGGAGCAGTCAAGGGCAGCAATCGGGGGGGCTCTGGCTGGGCTCCCAGTGGGCACAGGATGTGTGTGGGTGAGCCGGAGATGGGGCCGCCCCCGGCTGGAAGGCGAGACGAGAGTGGGTATGAAAGGTGGGTAGCCGGCCGAGTGCCCTCTGGAGACGATGCTGCTGCTCCTGCTGGGTCTGGTGCTGAGCCTGGCCTTGGCCCAGAAGCTCTACCCCGAGGAGATTGTGGAGCAAGACTTCAACATGACCAGGGTGGGCTCTCTGGGCCGGGGCAAGGACGGCTGCACAGCAGCTAGAGCTGGGAGAGAGGACCTGAGCAGAGGGGCTCAGGAGGGACAGGGGGCCGGGGGGCCGGGAGGGTGGAGAGGACCCTGGTCGGGAGCAGTCGAGGGTGCTGGCCCTAGGAGAGAGGCTCCAGCATCGCAGCCGCCCCCCCAGGCCGCAGGGTCCTGGTCCTCCATCTCCTTGGCCTCTGACAACGTGATGTGGATCGGAGTCAATGGGGACCTGCACCTCTTCATTCGGACCATCGAGCTGCTACTGAACAGCAGCCTCCTGTTTCATTTCCGCTTCTGGTGAGTGCTGCCACGCGGAGGAACTGGGGGCCCATCCAGCCTCCACGCCCACGTGCACGCATGCACGCACATGCTGTACACGCACACGCTCGCTGTCACAGGCCCCTAGGTGGGAAAGGGACCCACGCTGGGGGGGCAGGATGACAGGAATTGGGGGAGCCCTCTGGGAGAGTGGGGAACGCCCCCCTGCATTAGATTCGGCTGGGGACTATGGCCGGTGCCTCAGCCCCGGGACGACTCCTGTGTGTCCTGGGCTGGTGCTGGGTTGGCTTCCAGGATGCAGGGGGAATGTGTGTTCGTGACTGTGGTCTGCGAGAAGACACCAAAGAACGCAGAGTTCTCCACTGTCTGTGAGTGGGCCCGGCCCAGGCTGGCCGGGGCACTGGGCGCTGTGCTGGGTGTGGGAGACAGCGTGCAGAGTGCCTGGGGCTGCCGGCCATGGAGGGGGGCTGTGGGGCCCAGCCGCGGGCCATTGTGCAGTCTCCACTGAGCTGGCACCACCTGCCCAGACTCCTTTCCCACAGCACGCGTCCCAGGGCCTGGGGAAAGTGGGTCCTGGTGGGGCCCACGCTGAGCTGCGTTTCCACACAGACCGGGGGGAAAACAAGGTGCTCATCTTGGAGACTGACTACTGGATGTACATCATCTTCTACCTGAAGAACGTCCGGTTCGGCATCGAGACCCAAGTGCTGGCGCTCTACGGTACTGACCCCTGGCTGCCAGGGACCCCAGACCTGGCTTGGGCAGCGGCACTCTGCACAGCCCCAGACCTGGGCAGGGGCTCCCTGAGTCCTCACAGGACGGGCCTTGGCACCCCAGACCCTGCCTATACGAGTCCCCAGTCTGTCCTCAGGGCGCATCCCAGTGCTCAGCGACCCCTTGCTGGACAGATTTGAAAAGGCCTACAGGAAGTACGGGATGGGTCCAAGAAACACCATCAATCTGGCCGAGAAAGGTGGGCTCCCATGCTCCCCGGGGCCTGCGGAAGCGGGGCTGGGGCCGGGGCGTGGCCCCTCCAGCTCATCTGGGAGCCTGGCCTCCCCAGATCTCTGCCAGTACTAGTGGAAGAGGAGCTGGCCCAGCCTTAGGGTGAGTGGGCTCTGACGGGCGTGGGATGGGCATGGTGGGGTGGCGGGGGGGCCCCGGATGGCGGTGGCTTGGTGTCAGAGGCCAGGGTCTCAGCTCAGAAGGGCCACAGGTGCATTTCTCCAAGCCCATCCCTCACCGGACTGCTGGGTTTTCCTGGAACACAGAGAGTGTGGTGGCTGGTGGAGTGCTGAACACTCCCAGGTCGGGTTTCCCGGGGCCTTGTGGGCTGCAGTCGGGGCAGCACAGGATGTGAGCCGCAGGAGGGCGCTGTGCAGTGAAGACTTACTCTCTCGAAGCTCTGCAGTCTGCCTGTCCAGGACCCAGGTGTTGAGAGGCCGAACCCCCCAGGGCTCCAGGGTCCTCCTGGCTCATCCAGCTGCTGGTGGCTCCAGGTGGCCCATGGCTCAGCCTGGCTCACCCGAACCTCTGCCTCTGTGTACACGCGGCCCCAACTTCCTGTGGCTGCTCTTCCACCTCCTGTAATGATGCTGTCTTAGCTCTGGGGCCCAGAACGAGGCCTCTCACCCAGCACCCTGACTCTAGCACATCTGTAGGAGCCTTTTTCCAAATAAACCTCATCCTTAGGTCCAGGTGCGAGGATGGGGCGTATCTTTTGGGGGCACCATTCAGCGCCTCTAGGTCCCTTCTCAGGAAAAGATCCCCTTGGAGCCCCCTCCACGTGCAGAAGCCTGGCCCCAGAGTGGCCTCAGGGAAGTGGGGATCCCGAGGGCTGCACTGCACACAGGTCCGAGTGCTAAGGAGCCCCGGAGCTGGGGTCCCAGGACCAGGATCGGGAGGCCACAGAGCCTCACTTGCCCTTCTCCGAACCCTGGCTGGGATGGAGCCGCCCACTGTCATTCTGTGGATGACACAAGGGGACACAGCCCTCGGCCCCCGACAGGCACATGCTACCCAAGCTCAGTCCCTCCATGCCGGGACCACAGTCAGCAGGGAAGGGACAAGGTGGACAGATCTTACGGGGCATGGAGAAGCTGGCCCCCACTCCCCTTCACAGATCTGCAGGGGGCAGAGCCATGGGAAAGGCATCTGGGGTCGGGGAGGGAAGCAGACGCGCTGTTGGGGGAAGCGGGAGGGTCCAGTGCCACGGGCCTTGCCCACGTGGGAAGAGCCACAGAGCTGAACACACTCACACTCACGTGCGCACACACACACACACTCACCCCTTGGCGCCCGTGAGACAGGGAGCCACGTCAGGCTCGGTGCCAGCAGCCCCCTTGCCTGGTGTGGCCGTCCCGGGGCTTAGCCAGCGGTGTCCGGGGGAGGTGGACTGAGGACACTCTGACTGCCCTGCATCCTCCTCCCCCTGCAGATGAATCTCCGTCCTCTCCACACTGAAGGTGCTGTGCACCCAGGTGGCCCAGAAAGTGCTGCCAGGCCCCCAGCTTTCTCTGCTGCCCTGGCTCTCCTCACCACTGCCTGGGGCAGGCGCCCTTTATCAGTGCCCAGGGTCCCCTCCAGCTCCTGATGTCCCCCTGGGATCAGGGACCCCGCGGTCACTGCTCTGCCCTTTGGTGCTGGGAGGGGAGGGGCACCCAGAAGGCTCTGCACTGGGGCCCCTGGATCAGCGGTCCCGGCGGGGCCCGCCCATGGCTCCCACTGCGGCAAAGCCCAGCACCAGCAACTGTGGGGGAAGGCCAGGGCCAGGGCTCAGTGGGGAGCTCGGGATGGAGGCCGGGCAGAGCCTGGTACCCCTGCTGGAGGCCTGGTCACCAGGACGGGACGGCCCACCCGGCTGAGCAGGGGACATGCACAAAGCAGCTGTCTGGGGGCTCGTGGGGGCCCCATGGACCCCCAAAGGCCCTGCCTGCCCTGGTCCCATGTTCGGTGTGGGTTGGTCCTGGCCTGCAGCTTCTGGCAGCCTCACCCCAGTGGCCTCCATGTGGACAATGGGACAAGGCAGGGACAGGAAGCTGGCCTTGTGGTCAAAGGGTCAGGGCCAGGTGAGCCTGGGGCAGACGTGGAAGGATACAGAGAGCAGGCTGTGTCCTTGGCACTGTGTGCCTGGCCCTGGGCGTCCTGGCTTGCCCAGCCTTGGTGTGGGGGGAGCGCTGGGCCTGAGGGCATTTCCAGAAGCTGCCGGAGGGCTCCCCGGAGAGGGCTGCATGGCCAGCCCTGTCCCTGTGGAACCTGGGGCGGCAGAGGCTGGTGTCCCCTGCCCCCAGCGGGAGGGGGCGCCTTTGCTCTGTGCCCCCGCTGCAGTTTGTTTTCCTTCCTCTCTGTGCTTTTCATTCTGTCTTGAGCCCGGTGCCCCCTGCCCACCCGCATGGCAGACACCCTCCCCCTGCCCTTCACCTGTTGATTTTCTCGCTAACCCGCTCACACACCTGTGCCTGTGGCTCTGCGTGAATCGTGTGGAGGGCCTGGAGCTTTCTGGGAGGCGAGGCCCCCTGGGCTGGCCCGGCCTCCCCCACAGGGGCCTCTCTGTGGTCCATGGGTCTGTGTCCTGGCCGCTCAGTGTCTCTGGGATAAAGTGAAGGCGAGCCCAGGACTTGAGGCAGGGGAGACTTGTTCCCACTTTGTGCTGCTCCCCTCCTCAGGAGGCAGCTGTGGGCGGCCTCACCTGCTCTCTGCCCCGCTGAGGACCCGTGAGATGGTGTCAGGGCCTCCAGGGCGACCTCCTCACCTCAAGGTCCTGACAGTGATCACAGCCCTAACTGCTCTGCACAGGAGGTGACCTGCACGGGCCCGTCACAGGAGGTGCTGCCTGCAGGGACCGCTGCTCAGCCAACCGCAGCATGTATTTTGCACGCACTCGTTGTAAGATACGGGGTGGCTGGGCCTGGGCAACAGGACTTTCAGATGCGGGTGCTGCAGGGAGGAGGACAGGTCGTGCGAGACCTTGGCGAAAGGCAGGCTGGCGCACACGGAGATGCGGGGGGCACGTCTGGAGGAGGGCGAGGCCTGAAGGAGAACTGCAGACCACAGGGGCCCAGGCGGATGCATGGCCACGTCCAAGACGGTCACGCTTCTCCTTCAGGAACCAGACTGGTTTCCTGCAGTTGCTGTGACAATGAATGCAAACCGGGTGGCTCAAAACAAAGTTGATTCTTCCACAGCTCCGGAGGCCAGAAGTCTGCCACCGGGACCCTGGCAGGACACTCCCCTCTGGTCTGCAAGGCAGCATCTTGCAATCCTGGGCTCCATCTTCTCAGCCCCAAACCATGGGTGTGGGCATGCTGCCAGGGCTAGGGAGGAGGAGGACAGACTGGAGAGCAGGGGCTTGTGCAGTGGCAGCCCCAAAGTGCCACCACAGAGTGGATCACACGCCCATCAAATCCTCGGAGGACACAGGATGAAGGAGTCCTGGGTACGCCACGCTCAGGACAACAAGGTGTCGATGGGTGCTCAAGGGTCATGAGCAACCCACCCCTTCGGGGGCGGACGGTGGGGGAGCTGTGCGGCAGGGGTGGGGAGGGTGGGGAGCGCTGCACACGGCTCTCAACCTTTGGGTTTTTCTCGGGTGTCAGGGTCTCGCTATGTATTCCAGGCTGGCCTTGAACTCTTGGTGATCCTCCTGCCTCACCCAGCTCTGCACTCAGTCTTGTTGCAAATCTGAGTCACACACAGTGCACACACATGCACACGTGCACATATGCACGCACACATCAATGCACACATGCATGCACACACATGCACAAGCACGCACACACACGCACACGCGCACTTCCTTTGGTGTCTTTGTTAGGAAGACACGATGACCCCAGGCCACCAGGTGATCCAGGTGATGCCATCAAAGTCACCCTTGCTGCTCCTGGGACTGGGCATGGTGTCCCCAGCCTCCACTGGGGGCAGAGGACCAGACGCAAGAGGAGCAAGGACACAGGGTGGGATGGAACCCCCTCCTGTGCATGCAGCAGCGCCAGGCCCAGGCTCACGGTCTGCCGTCCCCACGTGCGTGGGAGCCACGAGTCAGAAGACAGGGTTGACATCACACTGGGGATGGCGTCTCCTCCCCGTCACTAACTCCTTCCCCCGAATGAACAGACAATTTAAACAGAGATTCAAACTGCAACACCGACAGCAAGCAGGGGAGAGGTGCAGGGCGCGCTCAGGAACTGAGTCATTTGTTGCCCACGAGAGCTGCTCACTGGAGACTGAGTCACTGGCGTGGGCACGGTCCCGGGGCCAGGATGCACCGTGCTGTCGTTGGGGTGGAAATACCATGGCCGTGTGGGTGGGGTAGAAGCACAGCTACTCGGCAGCCGGCACGTCCACTGCAAGGCATTTAGCCAGGGTGAGTGGGGTTGTCAGCCGCCTCGCAGGGGACAGGCAGGTGTGAAAGGAGCCCCACGGTGACCAAAGAGCTGAAGAAACGCGGGAACTCTCCTTGGACGAGCCAATGGCTCTGTATGTAGCCAGAATAACAGCACCGACAAATCGGTGTTGGGATCCTGGTCGGGAAAGCGAAATAAAATCCTTGTTCTCCAGAGGCCAAGATCTTCCATGTAGAACACCCCAAGATTCCAAACAACAATCAGAATGAATCAATGATTCAGCAAACTTGCAGGAGGCAAAAGCCACACTCAAAAATCAATTGGTCCTAAGCCAGGCATGGTTGTATATGCCCACAATTCCAGTACTCTGGGAGGCTGAGGCAGGAGGATCCCAATTTTGATCCCAGCCTGGGCAATTCAGTGACTTAGTGAGACTATCTTGAAATAAAAAGTAAAGGGCTAGGGCTGCAGCTCAGTGAGAAGGCCCTGGTTGCAGCCCCAGTATCAAAAAAGAAAAGAAAAATAAAGCGATTGTTTCCGTACATTAACAATGAACATCTGAAACGGAAGTTAAGGATATGTTATTTATAACAGCATCAGAAAGAATAACATGATTACGACCCTACTCAACCAAGAAGGTTAAAAACTTGTATACTTCGAAAACATCTCACTGACAGACTGGAAGCCCTAATACTTTTAAGAAGTCTACACTGCCCAAAGCAGTCTACACGTCCACTGCAATCCTTATCAAGACCCCAGTGGATGTTTCATTTTGTGGAAGTATGAAGTATCACCCTAAAATTCCTATGGAGTCTCAAGGGACCCTGAATGGCCAAAACCCTGAAAAAGAGCAAAGCAGGAAGACTCACACATCGTGACTGCAAAACAGGTCCCAAGGCTGCAGTAAGCAGAACAGCGCAGCCGGCACAGAGTGGGGGACACCATGGGGCCCCGGAAGGACGTGCTCAGGTGCTCTGTGACAGAGGTGCCAAGGCCCTCCATGGGGAAAGGACATCCCCAGAGGGAGGCTGGGAATTCCATCCCCAGACGCCGAGGGCCAAGCAGGACTTCACGTCGCATCCCACACCTCCAAACAGACCAGAGCTGGCACAGCAAAGCTAAAGCCACCAGAGGAGATAAAATGAGCTTCATCGAAGTCAAACACTTCTGAGATCACAGGACACTAACAGGAGAGCAGAAAGGCGACCCAGCGGCCTGCAGAGAACACCTGCAAATCCGGCAAGGGGGCGCCGGCCAGGATCCACACAGAGCATCCACCGGAGCTCCAAGCTCGCGGGCAAGGCACTGATGCGGGCACCGGCAGGTTGCTGAAGGGGCAGAGCCACTCTCAGTGAGGGAAGAGCAAACCTGAGTCGCCGAGAGCCACCTCCTCACACCCTGCAGCACGGCCACTGTCAACGCTTCCACCCGAAACAAAGCCACGTGACTGGACACGTGGACACATGCAGATGGGGCAAACATGGGACATAGCATGGCAGGTCCAAAAGTCACACAGACAGCGGGGGCTCAGTGCCAGAGACTCGCCTGGGATGTGCAAGGCCAGGGTTCAATCCCAGCCCTGTTAAGGAAACACACACAGACTATCTGCTCCAGCAACTCCACTCCTGTGAATGGACCGAAAACAACCGAAAACCAAGCCGGAGCAAGACAGGTGTTTGTACACGCGCATCCTCGGGTTCACAGCACCATTTGCAAGAGTCGAATGTGAAAACCCAAACAGGGCCGGGGATTTAGCTCTGTGGTTTCACCACCTGCTGCGCAAGCGCAAGGAACCAAGTTTGATCCCCGGTACCAAACAAAACAAAACACAAACAAACAAAACGACCCAAACACCTACAGACAGATCATGGAGAGGCAAAATGTGCACACATATGCGTGCAAACACATGCACACACACACACGTGCGTGCAGAGTGTACCATTACCCAGCCTTGAAGAGGAAGAAAACTGTGACACAACATGGGTGAATCCTGGAGACCTTATGTGAGGGAAATAAGCCAGTAACAAAAAGACAAGGCCGGAAAAAGTAATTTTTAAAACAGGAAGGAGACCAAGAGATAAGAGAGGGTGAGGGAGGGCAGGGAAGCATGCAGAGAATCAGGTGTCGCGTGGGACGTGCGGCAGCTGCCCGTGATGAGTGGAACCACTGACGGCAAAGAAGGATTAAGAAAATAGAGTCAAAAAGAACTGTGAGGGTGGACCTCACAGACCCCACAGCTCCCTGGAAAGCCAGGCCTGGGTGGACACCCTGCCGTGTGACGCTGCTTACACAGATGCCAAAACCAGGCAGAACCATGAGGTGTTAAGAATTCCAATTCGGAAAGGGAAAGAGAGTAGCAGCCGGCCCCGGTCCCTGCAGTGTTCCAGGGGGTGGGAGGCCAGGAGGGCGGCCGAGGGCTGCGGACGCTGTACCTGACCGCACAGCACCGCGCAGGGGCCGGGCAGGAGGGCAGCGAGGCCTCCTCGGGCTCAGTTTCTGAGGCCTGTGCAAGGCGCCTGCCACTGGCTCCCGCGGACACCCACAGGCCGCGGGCAGGACAGCGTCCTTCTCTGAGGACAGCCACACGTCCAGCGGGTGACAAACTCTGGGCACCACACAGAGCAAGGCAGGGGAGCCACCTGCCAGCCGACGAGCTCAGCGGTGAGCGGGAAGCCAACACCTGTGTCCCCGGCCACGGCGCCGTGGGGCAGGAAGTGCGGGGAGGTCTGAGGCTGCAGGACCTGTGCCGACCTCAAAGACAGAGTCGGGGGAGCCCCAGACATGGACTTGGGGACCGGGACTTCTGGGGGAGACTGCAGGGCCAGCAGGGCGGCCACCTGCTGCAGAGCCCCACTTCCCACCCTTGCCGGCCACCGACCTGCCCTCGCACCCATGACCTGTGTGAAGCCCAGGGCGAGGGAGGCAGCCTTACCCGGTGACACAGGGCAGAGGCTGCGCCCCTGTGGCCTGAGGCACCCCGGAGGCCCCAGGATGAGGCAGACCCTGAGCCCCCAGCAGCTCCCACAGGAGGTCTGGTGAACCATCAGGAAGCAGCGGCAGCGGCAGCTTCTGATCTCTGGAACACGGGGAACACGGTCTCAGGGAACACGGGTAGGCGCACGCCTCTCTGTCCTGGGCGGGGGAGGGGGGCAGTCGCGCCTGGATGCCAGCCAAGGAAGGTGACCCGGAGTGGGGCAGCTGCACAGGGCGATGTGACCATCACGTGCTTCCTCTCCGACAGGACCCCCACCCGAGAGCCGTCAGGACACAGACTGGGGACCCTCAGATGGCCACAGCCTCTGCCCATCTGCCAGGGGCACCTCCAGGGCAGGAGAGCTGAGCCAAGGCCACTTGCAGGGCCTGGCACAGGTGGGGACACTGGGGAGGTGGAGACGTCGACCCAGCAAGGTGAAGGCTTTGGAAGAAGTCTGCTGCCCATGCCCAGGTGCCCCACAGCCCTGTCCCCATACCTGTGGGGAAGGGGAAGGCGGAGACAGGCTGCTGTGCCTGCTGACTGTGGCCAGGGCTTTAAGCAGCACAGATGTGTCCCCTCCGGCCCTGGAGACCGAACTAGAAGCCAGGCTGTCAGCAGCAGGGTGGGTGTCTCTGGAGGCCTCTCCCTCTCCTGGTGTCTCGCAGTCCCAGCAGTCACCGTGGGTCTTGCCTCTGTGTCACCTGGCCTCTGTCCCAAGTGCCCCTCAAGGTCACCCGTCGTTGGATTTAGGTCCACCCTAAGTCCAGGATGATCCCATCTCAAAACCCATGAACGAGAACATCTGCAAGGACCCCGTTTCTAGATCAGCCTCCATCCCGTTTCAGGTTCCACTAAGGCAAGAATTTGGGGGGACTGCATCATGGACAGGCAGATGTGCCCCATTATCTGCCAAGGCAGCCAGCTCCAGGGACAGAGTGCCACACCTATCCCTCTGCCACCGCCTCTGGAGACTGAGAGGGACTCAGTGGCCACTGGGCACAAGACCCCTGCAAGGCCACCACAAAGGTGAGGGGTGGTTGGGACCCGAGGGCGCCATGCTGCCCTGGAGGGAGGGGTATGCTCATGCCGTGGGCTGTGTCTGCTGGGCACCTGTGGAGGACAGTGATGGCAGGGCTGAGTGGCGGAGGAGCAGCTTCCTCTGCCTGGCTGTCCTTGCAGTCTGGGCACCGGCGGAGGGGGAGAGGCCGCTGCCCTACTTCCCAGGGAGTCAGGACACCAGGTAGGGGCAGGGGAGGGTGTGTGGAGCCTCGGCTGCTCACATGTGCTGAATCCACGCTGAGCGGGTCCTTTGTTCACAACGGGGGCCCAGGAGCGGAGGGGGCAGAGTGCTCCACAGGAGCAAGGGAGCAACAGCCTGCCCAGAACAGCGGGCCCCGCAGGAAGACCTCAGGCCCAGGCGGCCCCTTTCCCTAGCTCCTGAGGGAAGCAGACGCTCGAGGAGGCCCCAACCCCGCTCCCTGTAGTCTCCCTGATGCCCGGCCCTGGCACAGCTTCCCAACGGGCCTGCAGCCACCCCCGCTCCTGGTGCAGCTGAGCAGAAGGCTGCCCTTGGTCCCAGGACGTGACAAAGGCCCCTGCAGCCTGAAGGCCCCAAGCCAGGACAGCCGACCCCAGGCCAGGCCGGGGCTCAGGAGGACAGCAGGCCGCCCGCCTCCTGGACAGGGTCCCTCCCTTATCTGCCAGAAGGAAGTCTGGGGGCTCCCAGGTCCTTGACCAGAGCTCCCCGACCTTCCCCTGCCACAGGGCTGCAGAGAAGCCAGCCTCCCACACCAGGCTGCACAGGCCAGGTGCTCGGCTCAGCCCAGGTTCCACTGTCACCACAGGAGCTCGGCACAAGGCGGGGGAGCCCAGTGCCCACCCTTACATGACAGTACTTCAGATGTGCAGCCACGCGTACATGGACCCACTGGTGTACAGACACACACACACACAGACACACATGTGCACCTGCAGGACACACCCGGATCCAGGATCCTGGGGGCAACTACGAGGGGATGGGAAGAGCAGAAATGGACACTGTGCGTCTCGGGCACACGGGCAGCCAGGCCGACCCCTGATCCACGGCCAGCACCCAGAGGCTCCTCATCCGCTGCAGGTCCTCAGCCTTGAGGCCCCTGCACCCTGGTCCACGCCCGGAGAGCCTGGTAAGGCGCTGGGCCTGGGGTGGGTGGTGAGCTCACTCTGAGCTCTCGGGACAGCCTGCTCCCCACGGCTGCCTGGGCCGAGTCTGCGATGATGCATGCAATGGGTGGGCTCTTCCGGGAGCTGGGGTGCTGAGGCCACACTAGGACTATCTCCCTGGGGCTGGCACTGCTCTGGGCCTGAGCCAGATGATGGGGGCACAGGGACAGGGCCTGCTGGGCTTAGGGGGCGCAGGGTGCCCCAACAGCCTGGGAACGGAGGTGACCAATGTGCAGGAGGCAGGCCTGTGCTGGGTACACCCAGACTGGGAGAGGACCCCGCCCCTGGGCAGCCCCTCAACTTGGAGGACACCAGGCAGGCAGGAGTGGCTCTAGCCCAGGCTCCAGGGCAGGTCGGCTCAGGGCCCAACAGGCCCAGTCCTTGTGGGCCGAGTCTGGGCAGCTGCCCAAGCGCTGCTGATGAATCGGGTTAATTACACAGAAGCCACACAAACTCTGCTTCCTCCAGGAAAGGCAGTTTCCCTCTTTAATATCCAGCACCACTCACGTGGCTGCCAGCCTTGCTCAAATTAGGACCACAGCTGCGACCCTAAACTGAACGAAGTCCCCCACATGTGTGATGGGTGCTGCTGCTGCTGTGCCACCCGCTAGCAGCCCAGGAAGTCAGCAAAGATGCCGTCCACGCTGTCATCCTGCAGGTCCAGGCCCCAGCTGTCCATGTCTGAGCCCCACAGCTCCAGGGGGCCATCCTGGGGCTCCTGGGGGCTGGGCACAGGGTCGTCCAGGAAGCCCGGCTCTGCCCTGTCCACGGGGCTGCTCCTGGCTGGGGCCCCAGATGGGGTGGCTCCTCTGGCCTCCACGGGCCCTGGAAGCACAAGGACACATCAGCAGGGCAGACGGGGGCCTGGCCACAGGCAGGCCAAGTCAGGACACAGTGGGGCTCCCACGGCGGCCCTTGGGAGGCCCTGGCCACACCAGAACCCGCTGCCCCTCCGTGGGACGCACGGCCCTGCTCCCAGAGGTGGCAGCCACCACACATTTCTCCTCCAGATGCCTCCACGAGCCAGTGAGGCCGGCCTGGGGGGATGAGGGCAGGGAGAACGTGCCAGGACCCCAGGCAGCCCACTGCACTCTCTGCTGTGTTACCCGACTCTCCTTGCCAGTCACCCTGATGACCGAGAGGGCAGGAGGCAGCACAGGCCCAGAGAAGGCCCTGGATGGCCACCCAGGCCGGGACCCGTGTGGGTGAAGGCAGTCTGCACCTGGGGCTCACTCACCCGGCCACCACTCGGGACTGGCACTCAGCGGGAAGCACTCCCCAACCTCCACATCCAGCCCAGATACAGACCTGCAAGCAGGAAGGTGGCCACAGGTGGACCCAGACCCGGCCACCTCAAGGGACGTCCCAGGGCCCTGGCACGCAAAGGCCCTGCCCCGGGAGCTCCATGCGCAAGCAGCGAGCAGAAGGCAGAGGCCACGGCCCGGCGCCGGCCTGTGTGCAGCTCTGCTGGCCTGTTCTAGCTGCCGCCACAGCCCTGCTCCTCGCTCCCCTCCCACGCCCAGCTGGTGTGTGCACCGGAAATGCAAACTCATTCTATATCAGCCAAAACACAATCGGGAGGCAACAGCATCGTCACAGCTGCACGCCACAAAGCCACGCGAGGGTCTGCTGCGCCCCGCCTGGACTCCGTCTCAACCACACTGTGGGACGTGCAGGACATGAAGCAGGAGCTCGGAGAAGGGAGGTGGGTAGGGCCCAGGGCGAGGAGGAGGGAGGCTGGCGAGGACGGACGGACGGACAGACAGACACAGACACCTGCCGGGTACTCACCTAATGTCCAGGGCAGGCATCAGGGCCACCTCCCTGGCCAGCCGGGCTGGGGAAGTAGCGGCCCTGTCCAGGGGCCCAGCCTGGCCTGGCCTGCTGGCGGCTTCTTCGTTTGTCTTGGAGGAGCTCGGCTGCCAAGTGCAGGAAGGCCAGGGGGCCCGGGCGCCTAGGCTGGAGGGCCCTGAGGGGAACACAGTCAGCCCTCCTTCCTGCTGCAGCCCACAGCCTTGGCACTCCCCAGAAGCCCACGCTGCTGCTCAAGAGAAAAAAGCCCAGGAGGAGGTGGCACACAGGTGACCAGGCAGGAGCGTGTCCAGGAACAGGCGGGGGGCACCTTGGGGTCAGACCTGGGGATCCCTCGGCCTTGGACCTCGACCTCAGGCCCCAGACCTGCTTCCGCCTGCGTGACCTGACACAGGCCATGCGGGTCCCAGGATTCCTGGTGACCCCAGCTCTGCCAACTGCTGGCTCCTCCCCAACAGTGGCACACTTTGGGGGGTTGGGTGGCACCCCCACCACAGGGTGACCTGCCCACACTGCTAGCATACGTTTATGCAGCAATGAGCAACCAGGAAGGACAGGGCCACGGGCTCATCAGAGGCACCCCAGGGCGACCCTGATGCCTCCCCACAGCCGCCCAGGGCTCCACCATAGCAGCAGACAACAAAGGGCGACATCACAGTCAGGGCTGGAAGGCTGCAGCCCCATGGGCAGCACGGGAAGAGGCGGACGGCCCAGGAACCAGAGCTCCCTCCGGCCCAATCTGGGCTTCAAACCAGCCACCAACCAGGCGGGGAAACAAAGGCACAGATAACAGTGTGCGTGTGCAGAGCTGGCTGCAGGGGGCACTGCCTAGTGACCAGGATGGGCAGAGCCCTCTGTGTCCCACAGTGAGAGGAGGGGCAGCAGGATGGGCAGGGGACACCCTGGAGTTGCAGCCCAACCTGGGGGTTTTCAGACAGCCGTTCTGAGCCCTCCCACCCATCAGGGACAGCCACGGGCTTGGTGGGAGGCTGCCCTGCTGGCCCTGACACATGTAGCCCCGCACTCAGCACACTCACGTGTGCTCACACTTACCAGGTAGGCTGGGCAGCCCGTCCAGCCGCTCTGACAACCCGGCGGGGGCCATGCTCTCGCCTACACCCCGGGCCGGACAGCCCAGCGGGTCTTGCTGCCTGGATGGTGGGACACAGGAAGTAGCGTGAGCCCAGCAGAGCCAAGCCCGGGGCTTCGTCCCTTGTACCATCCAGGCCCCCAGGCCGCTGGCCACACCGCCCCTCTGAGGACTCGTGGCACCCTGACCCGGCTCCAGTCCCTTGGGAAGCAAGGACGGAGGCCTGATCCCAGGGCAAGTTCCTGGTCCTGGAGACCCACCAGCCCTTCCGTAGACATGCCAGAGACCTGGTCTGTGACCCAGCTGCCACACAGCCCGAGAGATGGGCCACAGGGCCACTCACGGAGTCAGGCCGGATGCCACTGTCCCGGGGTCTGACCCGCCTGCTGAAACCTGGCTCGTCAGGGTCCACTGCATAACGTCCCCCTGCCACGTGTGCCACGTGGCCCTCGATGGAGCGGGCACCTGAAAGTCAAGCACCAGCAGCCCGGTCAACAGTGAGACCCACAGGAAGTGGTGTGTTGGGACCAGTTGCCTCACCGTGTTCCCAGACACTGAGGTGTATCCTGAGCTCCTTGGGACAGGGCTGGGGGTGCAAGTGACAACCAGGGCACTCCTCAGATGCTGCACCCTCCCGAGCCCTCAGGACATCAGCCCAGCTACGCTCCCTAAGCTGCTCCAAAGCCTCCCACACACCAGGGTGTCGCAGGAAACACAGGGGACTCGGACAGCATCTCCCTCTCAGGGCCGTGCTTTCTCATGCAGCTGAAAGGGCAGACTAAAGGGTGCTCAGACAGGGAGGCATAGCGACCCTGCTGCCCCCAGAACCTTCGTCAAGTACTAGGATGGCTCATCAACATTAGGGGACATCTGAGGATCATGCCCCAGGAAAGAATAAATAGCCCCAGGTGCAGTTTGAACAAACCCAGCAGGGCCCTGCAGAAAACTGGGTGTCCGGGACCGAGGAGGGCCCACGGGTCTGCCTGCTAACAACTCACGCGGTGCTGCTCCCAGCCGGGCCCCAGGCTGTGCGCCAGCCTCAGGAACTGCACGGCCATCTCCAGAACAGATGCCATGTCCTCCCTCCGGCCGTCAAAGCTGGGCAGCAGGGCCCGAAGGCGCTCACAGCTCGCTGAGATCCGCTTTCTGCTTACGGAGAAGGGACCCTGCCCATCAGACCTCTGTGTACCCAGCCGGATGTCAACAGGTGGGACCGGGGCCATGGAACCCAGCACCCATCAGCCTTGGGGAGGCGACTCTTGGGCAGCAAGGCCACCAGGGCCAGGCCGCTATCAGCCCTCCAGTTTCTCGGCACAGGGTGGTCCTGGGCCCCAGGCTGGCTGCTCTGCCCACAGTAAATCAGAACAGGGGTCCAGGGACCCCAGACGCCCAGTCTCAGGGCAAGGAGCAGGCTGCAGTGACCCTGGAGACCCCTCCCCTGCAGTGTGATCACCAGCCCCCCGGAACCCTGGCACCCACGCTACACCCCGCGGGACTGGAGCTGCCCCCCCACCCCCCGCCTCGCACCTGCGCTCCCTCTCGCTGAGCACGTTCCTTGGGAGGACCGGGTCCTTGGCAGCCGAAGCGTTCTTGGCCAGGCTTGGGACCTGCATGGGGTCCTCGGACGCGGAAGAGCCGCTGCATGGAGAAGAGAAAGAGCACGCGGCTCTGGGAACCCGGGAAAGGCCACCAGGTGCCCTGGATAGGGTGACAGGCGCTTCCGGGCTGCGGCTGGGTGGAGTCCACAGCAATACCCAGGACACCCAGGAACTTGGCCTGACCAGCCTGGCACCTTCTCCCCACCACCAGGTCAGGAGCGAGGCAAGGCAGGGGAGGGCGGGCCCCGGGGAAAAGCCTTGGGACCTGACGCCCCGCGCCCAACACCTGTGACTCACTGGCACCTCCCGAGGCCAGGGGCTCTGGGGACCCCAGCGGTGTGCTCAGAAGCCCGCCACGCCATGACGCACAGCGAAGACAGAGAAAACAACAAAAGCGGCGCGCGCCCCACGCAGCGTGCAAGCTCCTTGCCCGCCCCGCCCCGCACGGTGCGCGCCCCACGTGCGGCCCCAGCGTGCACCTGGCGCCCCCTGTGCTCCGCCCCCGCTCCTCATGTACCGCCCACGGCCCCGCCTCCAGCCGCAAAGCTCCACCCCTGAGAAGTTGCTAGAACTCTTCCAGGAAGCCTCCCAGGCACGTCTGCCGACGCTAATGGGGGTCCCACCAGGGAGCAGCCTCCAGGCTCCGCCTTCCCGGGAGTCTCGAGCCCCCTTCGCCGCGGCCTCTGGACCCCAGGCAGGAGCGCGGTCTGGCTCCGGAGCTCCTCACAAGGGTGGGTGCGAAGGTGCTCTGTGAACCGCAGAAGGTCACCCACCTGCCCGCCTCCCCAGGTCGCTCCCTGTGCAGGAGCTGCACTCCAGTGCCTGCCACCATCCCAGAGGCCCGACCTCCCTGTGCCACCCAGCCCGGTGGGGCTCAGCTGCCTTGCCGCCCCTGAATGTCCAGAGCCCCTGTGTGGGGCCTGGGTGAGGAAGGGGAGACCCTTCCCCTCTCCAGGAATGGCCCTCCAGGCGTGCAGCATAGAAGGGGTGCCAGGAATCGGTGGTTTCCCTTGTGATGACTTCCCTGGCTCCTGCTGAGGACAGTTGCTGGAGGGGGAGGGGACACAGCCCTTCTTGGGGGCAGCAAGAGGGAGCCAGAGCAGGTGCTATTGCAGGGTGTCTGTCCCAGGTGCAGGGCATGGCCAGGCAAAGCGCCTGCCACTGTCCACTGGGCCTTGGGCTGGGCTCTGGGTGGCAGGAGGGGCATCAGCCAGAGATGGAAGCTGTGCTGGGCTGTGAGGAGCGAGGCCCACGCCGGCCAGGGCCCCTCCATCTCTGTTGGGACTGTGGGACGTGGAGCCACTTGGAGAGGAGGCCCGGGGAGGGGTGGTGTGGAAGTCGCTCCTGCAGCCCTCCTCCGCTGGGATGCTCTGGGCCCAGCTCCTCCATGCCAGAGCAGAGCCGAGCTGGGGTTCCCCGAGAATGGCCCCAGAGTGCCAGGTTTCCCACGGCTGACAGCCCTGTGAGCATCTCCATCTGCTCGTTGGGTCAGGAGCGCCACCTCACTCAGGCTTGTGAGTGGCGGTGGACGCAGCCAGGGGGCTCCGAGGGCTGTGTCTGAGTCCCGGGACAGGAGGGACCCGCAGGAGACAGCAGCTGCCTGGGGGAGGAGGGGCCCAGCAGAGCATTGCCTCTTTCAGGACCAAAGAGAAAGCCCAAGGTGCACCCCTGGGGGTCAGCCCAGACCTGCACCCTGGGCTCCACCCACAGAAAGCCCGTGTTCGGCCTGCTGTGCCTTCAGGCAGATTAGGCAGGGACTCCGGAGGGACTGGGGGGCAGGGACCATCTCATCATGCACCCCCGGGTTGACCCTGGCCCACCTCTGACCTCGGGAGCCCCCCATGCGGGTCACTGCCCCTGCCCCACAGGTCCCGTCCTGTCCCCTGTGCATCTCTCCGGGTGAGCGTCAGGCGCTCCCCTTGGGATGGATCCCCAGGGGCCCTTGGCCTGGTGTGCGCTTGGGTTCTCCTAGAGAAGCAGCCCCTCCTGTTTTCAGGCCCACAGATTGTGTTTCTAACGCAGATATGGGGACCCTCGACCTTACCAGGCCCAGGCTCAGCCCGACGCCGTCACAGACTCGGTGCGGCCGGCAGGGGGCGCACGCGGACAGGCGCCGGAAACCTGTCAGGAGAGGAGGGAGGCTGGGCTGAGCCGGGCCATGCGTGGAAGCAGCACCGTCCGGGAGTTGGTTATGCCGCTCCCCGGCAGGGCGCGCAGCCCAGGGGACATGCCAGCTGCACCTTTGGGTTCGACGACACCCTGTGCACCCTCAGGTACAGGCTGCCACACAGGGAGCCCCCGGGCTGGGCTGGCACCGCTCCGTGAGAGCCCCCAGGACCCCAGCCCCAGGCGCTAGCTGCAAGGTCATTGCCAGAGGGGCGGGGAGGCCGAGCCTGGGACGAGCAGAGGGGACCCCAGCCCCGCCCACAGAGCCAAGGGAGAGGACGAGGGGTGGTCCTATGGAAAGGGCCGGGGCTGGGACTGTGCCCCATGGTGGGGCTCCTTTTCTGGGCAGCCCCTCAGTAAGATACCCCGCAGGGGTGTGAGTGGGTCGTCCAGGCTCACAGGTTCTTTGCCCCCCCAGCCGCCATCGTTTCTCTGCATTCCTGCCAGCATCTCCCATCCGCATGCAGGAGGGTCAGCGGAGGAGGGCAGCAGGTGCTCTGGGATCGGCAGAGCTCCTGCCCAGCCAAGGACGGGGGTTGCAGCCAGGGCAGCAGGCTGGTGGAGGGGCCCTGGAGGGCTAGTACTGCCCAGGCCCCCCAGCCCCTGAGGACGAGCCCACTGCCTGTGCCAGGGCTGGACACAGGAACCTGGACAGAGCCTGCCCACCACCAAGCTCAGCCCGGCCTAGCAGGGCAGACTCCCTTCCCCTGCTGCCAGGGAATGGGTGGCCGGGCATGCAAGAGGTGCTGTACTGACTGTCCTCTGAGGAGCTTGGTTTCCCCGATGTAAATCATGGAACAGATGTCTTTGAGGGCAACTTCCAGGGAAGGGCCAGGGTGGGTTTCCAGGTGGAGCCTCAGGCTGGGGATGCCCAGGGTGCTGGGGACCAGGGCAGGAGCGCTGTCAGAGAGTGCATGGCCACTTGAGGTCCTGGGGAACCGTATGCAGGCTGGACCTCCTGAGGTACTCAGGGGTCAGCAGTGATGTCTGTCGGGCCGGTAAGTGACCACCAGAGGGTTCTCCACTTCCTTCACCCTCCTGGTCTTGGCACATCTGTCGTCCATGGAACCTAAATGTTACCCTCCTGGTCCTTTCAGCTCCAAGTTCATCACCTGTGCCCCTCACCCCCCGCTGCAGCCCCAGCCGGAGTCCTGAGCCCTTAAGGTCCGGATTTCAGCCACTGTCCCCCCACCCTGGGACCTCATCCTTGCTGGCTTCTTCCTGCTCACTGTCACATTGCAGGGGGAGCTGCTGCGAGGGCGGGGGTGTCAGATGACCGGTGGATCCCCCAAGGAAGGGCTGCCTGGGGCAAGAGGCAAGGCCAGAAGAGGGGAGCCTGCCAGGTGGATTCCTGCCCTGGGCCCTGGCGGGAGGGGGAGTGGCATGTTTGGAGCTGGACCCTGGAGCCCTGCACCTGGAGCCTGGTCTCCTCGTCCAGGGCTGGGCAGTGTCTCTGCCTGTGACGGGAGCTGGCAGTGGGAGCCCTAGGGCTGCAGGTTGGGGTGGGTGCTGAGACCCTGCCTGGTATCACCCAGCTGTACCCCGGCCCTATCCAGCCAGGCTTCCAGACTGTGGGATGAAGAGGGGATCCAGAGCGGGGCTCCAGCCTTCCAGGTCACAGGAGTCTTCATCCAGGCCCCACCTTCATGGCTTTCCACCCTAAACCCCCTTCATGAGGTCCCCAGCTCCAGCCACCCACTCAGAGTCCCTGGACTCTGCCCTCCCATGCCATCCTCTACTCTGCCGCTTCCTGGGTCTGGAGGTGACAGCTGCTGGGGCAGTGGGAGGGGCCTTGGCCAGGCTGTCCCCACCCCCAGCCTGCGCGCCTTTCTTGGAACTGCCGGTTCCCAACAGCCCTGGTCCCTATGTCATGGGGCCCTCTGGGCCTGATGGCCAGGGCACGGAGCACAGCCCTGCCATCCTGCCAGGGACATCCTGCCTGGCCCTCCAGGCCCATATTAGGGAGCCATGCCCTGGGCAGCAGGAAGCGGCCAGGCCCCAGGGAATTGTTTGAGGGCTCAGGGTGGCCTGGCCCTGGCCAGCGGGAGGGACAGCAGGGTGGCTTCCCAGCCCAGGGACGGAGGGCCCAGGCTGCTGCCTGTTGCCGGGGGCGGCTTCTGCAGCAGCAGCAGCTCAGGACAGCAGTGAGTAAGCGGGGGTGGTGGCCCCTAGGGCTTTGGCTTCTGTCTGAGCCCCGTGGGTGTCGCCCATGTGCAGCTCTCGGCCGCCTGCCCTGTGGGTGTCTCGTCCCGTCTGGGGCTGGGATCGTGATGACTGAGATCCAAGGCAGCCCTGATGTGGCTTTCCCTGAGGAGCGTGCTGGGGAGGACTGGCATCTCCCTGGAGGACCGCCACACCGAGCCCCAAAGCAGCCCCGTCCTCCACATCCGGGTCCTCGGAGGCCAAGAAGGAGGCTGGGAGGAAATCCACACCTGGCTCCTCAGGAGGGGCTCACAGGTGGAGGGAACCCACTGACACCTCCTCCTCCGCGTGTCACTCCGGCCTCCCTGCACCACATTTCCAAACCTCGCCTCAGGGCAGTGCCTGTCCTGCCCTGCTGCCCTGCATGGCAGGGAGGCTGAGTCTCCACCACCTCGCTCACCGCTGTGTGTGTGTGTGCGCGCGTGTCTGGGTGGTACCGGAGAGTGAACCCAGGCCTTTGCACTGAGCTGCATACCCAGCACGTTGAGACAGGGTCTCACTACGTCACCCAGGCTGGGTTTGAATATTCGGTCCTCCTGCCTCAGCCTCCCCGAGTGCTGGGATTACAGGATCCCTTCCTCCTCGTTCTTTGCCTTTTCTCATTTTTGCGATGCCCCGTCCAGCCTCCCTGGCGCCTTCCGGCTGTCTCGCCCTTGGGGCTGTGCGGGAGCCTTGCAGGGTCCTGACCGCCACTGCTCTTCCAGAGGTCTTCTCTGTCTTCGCTGATTCTGTCAGTTTCCCAAGGGGCCTTTTCTTGACAGCTGTGTCGTGCTCAGGTGTAGAAACCTGTATAAATCCTCTTCCTGCCGGCGGGGACTTGGTGCATCGTGATCGGTGATCCGGCATCGGTCTGTTTCCTTCCTGTCTCGCCCTGGGTCCGGGGCTGGGAGTGGCATCTAATCCATTTGTCTTGTCCCATGGAAGGCGCTTGGCCGTAGGTAGAGCCCTCTAGAGCCAGGTCTTAGGCTTGGGCACCGACCCTGCCCAGCCCTGGATAGGAAGCAGGGGAAATAGCGGGGAGACAGCAAGGTTGCACGCGCCGCCAGTCTCTTCGGGGCCCCAGCCCCGCCTCCCTCCTCGAGCCTGAGCCCAGTGTGGACGCAACGCAGGGAGGTCAGGGCCTCTAGTGCATTCTGCCACTGTTCGTCTTTCCCTGTGAAGCCCATACTCACCGTAGCTGGGAATCGGAGCTGACAGCTGGCACGATGCTCTGCGCCTCCCTCACCCGGGGCTCCTCCTGGGCTTCCTTCTTCCCCAGACTTCAGAGTCTGAGAAAATAACCATGCCTCTTGGTGGGAGCCAACCCCCTGTCCCCCTCGGCCCCGGCTGCTCCCATCTGACCTCTCAGGATGCGTGTGGGCCACAGGCATGGGACATGGAGCCCGCCATGGGGCCCAGCTGCTCTGCTCTGGGCTCGAGGGGCCCCTGGGCTCAGGGCTGCACATGGCAGTTCCCATGTCCATCCTAAAAGTCTCTCCACTGACTTCTCTCGCGGTCTCCACATACGTGGCTATGTGAACTGGGCACCCAGCTGGGTCTCTCCTTCCTCTTCCTCCCCGAAGCGCCGCGTTTTGAGAGGGGAGTGGGTGCTAGGGGTGCATGTCTCTGACCAGCCCGCTGCCCACCCTGCCTGGCCTGTGAGCGCAGGTGTCCTCAGCACGTGCGTCAGGGTGGTGACAGTCCCGGCCTGGGCTGTGTCCTAGGATTATGGGCCACCACTGGCTCCTCTCGGGGCCCGACCCTGGGCACAGCTGCCAGGGGACCGGAGGTCAGGGCGTGTGATCACGTGTGCTGCCGATGGCTGAGGTGGCCTCCCGGTGTGCATGCTGCCTGGGCCCCCTCTGCTGTGGCCTGGGGGCGGGTCCCACGCATCCGCACTCCGAGACTGAGTCACAGATCAAGCACTCATGTACCAGGCACTGCACCGAGCACCGCAGTTCCTGTCTGCTGTGGGCTCTGCAATCCGGAGACCAGGCTCGGCACGGGGAACCCCCTCACCTGGGGCCATCCAGCCTGCATTGGCAGCTAGGGCGGAGCTGTGTTGTGCCCCCAGGACCCTCAGCTGCCGCTGGCCAGAGGAGTGGGGCTCTCTGCAGGGCCCTGGCCAGCTGCCCAGGCTTGCAGGAGGAGCCCTCTGTCCTCAGTCTGCAGGTTGAGCTCCACACCTGGCCACAGATGGGGTCTGGGCAGGTAGGTGGTTGCACTCCTGAGTGCCCAGTCCACCTCACGGCAGCCGGCAGGCCGGCGGGTGAGATCTCGGGACCCCAGTGGGGTGTGGGCTCGGGCTCTGGGCTGTGCCATAGCTGTGTCCTTGCCCCTCCAGGCCACCTGTGGGCAGCCCTCCCCAGAGGAACACAGGCCTTGTGCTCAGTGAGCCCCCTCCACCCAGCCCACCTGGGCAGCAGCACTCTGCAGTGGGACCTTCCAGGAGGCCAGGCCAGGCTCTCAGCCGCCCACAGACACTCAGCTCTGCGTGGGATGTGGCACAACTGGGGACGAGGCAGGAGGGCAGGAGGTCCCCAGGGCGGGGTTTACGCCATGTGCTTGCTCGGATGGCACAGCAGCAGGCGGAGGAGAAGGCAGCGCATCCTCCTCGCTCCTCAGACCACGGCTTGAGGATCCCAGCACTTCCTTCCCTCCCTTGGGTCCAGCAGAGGAACCCAGAGTTCCCGGAGGTGTGGCACCAGGAACCGCAGGGCCAGAGAGAGGTGGCTCTTGGGGTTTTGCCACTAAGAGGGCTTCTCAATAACAAGGCCAAACCAGGAGAACAGGGTCCCGACCCCACCCACGTGGCTCCCGGACCTCCTCCGCTCCCACCACACAGCCAGCTGGGACCCAGGGAAAACACTGCAGCGCTGATGCAATTAGGAAAATGTTATTTTTCAAATGCTGCCAAATGCTGAGGTTGAATCTGTGACCCTAGAAATGGGAGGGTGTTGGACCAGTGCCTGCCACTTGTGGCCACGACCTAGGGTGGTCACAGAGCATCCCCAGCTGCCGGAGGGGCTGCCCATCCCTGCCCACCTGCTGCTTGGTGGGGGCTGGAGTTCGGGCAGCCCCTCACCTTCCCCAGCTTCTGCACCTGCCCCAGGCTGACCGCTGTTCCCCACCTTCTCCAGCTCCTGCCAGCCACGTGGTCTTCGGTGACTGTGCAGCCTGTGGGGACAGGCTGGGGTAGGGATGCCCCAGCAGCTCATAATGAGGAAGCCGGAGCTCCCTGTGTCCCCAATGCTGCTGGTCCATGGGGGGGGGCACTGCTCACCTGTGGGTGCCGCTCTTTGTGGGCCCCGGGGGTGACTCGCTGCCCTCTGACTTGGGGGTGGGCAGAGAGGTCAGGGGCTGCTGCCCTGAGCATGGGGGCTTTGGGGGCCCTGCGGCCCCTGCCTGGGTGCCCTGGATCGTGGCTGCAGCCAGAACTCCCTTGGGGGTGGAGATGGCGGGTAGAAGATGAAGTCCTGGCCCCCGGGACTGCAGCCCCCCCAGGCCCTGGCCCACCCCTCCCCCACTCTGCTGCCATTACGTGACCATGATCCTGGTGTTGGGGCAGGGTCCTGGGGGTCCCCCAGGAGTCCTGGTGACCCTGCAGGGCAGCTTCGGGCTCAGAGGGCCCTGGGGACAGAGAACAGGGAGCGAGCTATCCCTAAGCCTTGAGGTCACACACCCCGAAGCGTGGGGGCCAGAGGTCAGCTTTTTTTTTTTTTTTTTTGGTGTCAGGGATCGAACTCGGGTCCTTGCGCTTGTACAGCAGGTGGGGAAACCACTAAGCTAAATCCCCGGCCCCCGGAGCTCAGCTTTGGCCCAGGTTTCTGCTCTGGATCTGGAAGGAAGGCTGAGTGGGCTGGGCACAGGCTGTGGGGCAGTGAGGGCTGGGCTGCCACAGGTCAAGAGGAGAGGGAAGGGCAGAGGAGGGTGGGAGGGTCCCTATGCCAGCCCCTTGGGGACCAGGGCCAGGGCCGTCCTGAGCACAGGTCCATGAGTTTTTGGCTATGAATGTTTTACTTCCCCAGCCACCACAAGCCTGGGGCCCCTGGATCACCCTGCCCCCGGCACCCCCCGCAGGGCCCTTCTCCCCCACAGGTCCCCCCCTGCCCCTTCTGCAGGCCCCTCTCCCTGCAGATCCCCTCTCCCCCCTGCAAGTTCCCCCTTGCAGGCCCCCTGTCCCAAGCTTGCAACGCCCCCCCCCCGCCTCTGCCCATCCCCACGTGACCCTCTGGTCCCCACCCCCGCAGGTGCCCTCCCAGTCCCCAGTCTGCTCTTTGGGGGCCGCGTGTCCAGGTGGGGCGCACTGAGGGCTGCTGGCTGGCGTATGCCGCAGGCAGCCCTGTGCCGAGCCGAGGACAGCCCCGGGGACAAGCTCCCGAACGCTGCTGCCAGCTTCAAGATGAGCGACCTGGACTCGGAGGTGCTGCCCCTGCCGCCGCGGTACCGCTTCCGGGACCTGCTCCTGGGCGACCAGCCCTTCCCCAGCGACGACAGGTAGGCGGGTGCACTGTCCCTGGTGCTGAGTCTCTTTGCCTTTCGACTTTACGGGGCGCCTCCGACCCGGAAGTTCCGCTGGGGGTCTGGGGGCGCATTTCCCCAGGAGGGGCTCAGGGGAGGGCATGAAGCGGGGGCTGAGGAACCCCCAGAGGCCCACTTGGGGCTCCGGGGCTCCCCTGCTGGCTCCAGGTTCCAGCCCTGCTGCTCTGCCGATCAGGAGAACAAACAGGGCCGGAAGAAGGGTGCGTGGAGCCTCCGGCTGGAGCCTGGTGTCCTCCAGACTCGGGCTAGGTCGCTTATTAATTATGCATGGAGGGACTGTGCCTTCAAGCTCACCCGTGGTCACTCACTGGGAATAGCAGCATTCCAGCACCTCTGGCTCTCTCGGGCATGAGAAAGGAAAATGAACGAAATCTCCCGGAGGCTGAAGGGCCGGCAGGACACGAGGGAAGTGCTGCTCTTCTCTCCCTCCCTCAAGCAGTGGTCTCGGGTAAACTCCCGGCCGGCCTCGGGCGATGTCAGCCTCACAGTGCCAGGGGGGGTGGGGAGGGTGTGGGTCGGCAGCCCCGCCTGGGTCTGTTCGGGCTGTTTCTGCCACGATGCGCTGCTCGCTGGCTCAGTCCCCCCCAGCCGTTTCCCCCAGGTGTTGTTATTCAAGTTGGCACGTAAAGTGCCTGAGGTTGCAAATCAGCAGCTCAGCGCCCTCAGCTGAGAAGTGGCTTTGTGAGCGGGCCAGCGTGAGGGTCTCGAACAAGGCCCTGCCCACTGGAAACGCAGTCTCCGCCCCCACTGGCTTCCGCACTGGCGGGGCCAACCCCAAAGTCTCCCTCTGCCCAGAGCAAGGAGCCTGCCAAAGGCTCCTACGGGCCTACGTAGGAGGCCTACGGGCACTTGCCAAAGTGGGTTTCTCTCTGGTTGAAGGAACTGATGTGGCCACAAGTAGGTCCACCTTGAACAGCTGCCCCGGTGAGGAGACAAGTTTGGGTCCTGCTTGGGTTTGGGCGGGCTGGGGTCTGTGGCCAGGGCTCCCACCCTCCTGGGACCCATGCTGGGCCGGGCTGGGGCTACCAGAGGCCGGGCCATGTGCGGAACATCTGCTAAGTCAGCACCAGGGCCTGCTCAGCGGGACCTGGTTCATACTGAAACAGCAGCCTTGGGCTTTCCCCCAGTGTCCGGCAGGAGGCCATGTCCATCTCCCTGTGAGGTGCCCAGGGCTGCAGTGACAGGACAGATGCCTGCCCTGTGGCTGGCGGAACTGTGTTTTCAGGAGCGAGTGGCACAGCTCCCCTGCCTGCGGTCGCCAGGGTCTTCGGGGAGCGTCCCAGCCCCAGGGGCCAGATGGGAGGCTGCTGTCAGACCCGTTGTCCCAGACCTGTGTTTTCAGTTGTAGCAAAATGCATGAAAATTCACCACCCCTGACATGGAGCAGCCTGGCACCCTCCCCGCCCGGGAGTCACTTCCGCTTTCCTCCAGTGTTTCTACACCAGGGCTGCTTGGGCCGAAGCTGCGGGGTGGGCAAGTCTGGCCCTGCCCTGCTCTAGACCGACTCAGCGCTCCTCTGCGAGCCCCAGGTCCCAGGTCAAGGGCAGGAGACCAGGGACCTGCAGGGGTCCCTCATCACCCGAGCCCTGCTGTTTCCCAGCACTTCTGGCTCTGGGTGCAGACCCCAAGCTGAGGGGGAGGTGCAGGGAGGGGACTGGCTTCCCAGGGAACTCCTGGGTCTACCGGATGTGGGCCCCACTGCCCGCAGGCCACTCTGTTCCAGCCGCCTGTCCCCCCTCTTGCCGGCCCCTTCCCCGGCTCCATGCCCAGCCCTGGCCCGTGGACCATCACTGACGCCCAAAGGGCCTAGGCCAGCTGAGTGTGCTTGTTCTCCCAGCCCAGGGGAGCAGGGTGGGGCAGGGCACCTGGGAGGCTCAGTACAGGCCACCCCGCCCACCCCGGCTCTGAGGAGGGAGTGGGGAGCTGCACCCCGACTCCTGGGTGGGCAGAGTCAGAAATTTCCTGTTCTCTGGGGAAATAAAGCCACTAGCGGTGAGTCACCACGGCCGCCTGCCGGCCTTGGGGAGCAAGGAGCTCAGCTGCCCACGCAGGCACAGGGCACACCAGGCCTCGCTGCCAGGCTAGCCTCTCACTGGGGTGTGAGCACCAGCACACCACCGTGGGGCGGAGCTGGGTGCCCACCCCTTCCAAGGCCCAGTGTGGCCCTGGTGGATCCTGGGGCTTCGGGAGCAGCACTCAGAGGAAGCCGACCTGGCCCTGCAAGGTTGGGGTTCTGGGCTCCCTTTCAGCCCCTTACCCTGGCCTGGGGTTGGCACCCAGAGCTGCAGGCCCAGCTGGCTCAGGACCCCAGCGTCTTAGTTTCCTGTGTCACCTGCCTCCTCCCCCGGCAGCACCTGGAACCCTGGGCTCTCCCCTCCTGCACCCCGAAAACCCTAGTGAGGTCCTGGGGACATGGGCTCAGGATTGAGTCCCCAGCGGGCAGCTGGAGGAGGCAGAGGACAGGGTTGTGTACTCCCACCCCTGTCTCCTGGTCTGTGACCTGGAGAGGAGCCCTGGCCACTCAGGAGGGGATGGGACAGCTTGGCACACAAGGCGGACAGTGCCCGCGGCTCAGCTGGCTGAGGGGCTGAATGGCTGGAGATGTGTTGGGGAGCCCCTGTGGGCATAGGTGACCTGCCGCTGGCTGCTCTTGGCCCGCTGTGCCCACAGGTGGAGGCAGGACCAGCTCGGGGTCTGGGTCCAGGCAGGCAGTGAGTGGCACCAGATGCCCAGGGAGTGGCCACCCCAGGCAGAGGAGGGACTGGTCCTGGCTGCAGGGCTCGCCTAGTGCCAGGGCTCCTGGGTGGGCCAGGCAGGCCTGCGTGGGGAGCCCGGCCCCAGAGGGCCCCGCCCAGGCTGTGCTGCTCCTGCCAGCAGAACAGACCGCTTGGTTGCCTGGAGCGGCACTGTGGGGTGTTTTCTCACACACCAGGGGCGAGTGGGCAGGCAATCTGGCCCAGCAGGGCAGGAGCACAGGGCCGCCGCCTTGAGGACAGAGTCCCGCTGCCTGCAGCAGGCGGCTGTGGAAAGGGACCCCGAGGGCCTGCGGGGGCAGGGTGGGTGCAGGGAGGAGCCACTGCTCAGCTCCTGTGGTGGCTCTGGTCCCTGGGGTTCGTCCTTCCCAGAGCTGCTGAGCTTGGAAACACTGTTGGCCCTGTGGCCTCCTGAGGGTACATTTAAAATCCTACCTCGGGCCTGCCCGGGGCAGGGCTGGCTGGCAGCTCTGCCCAGAGTCACCACACCGTCCTCTCATGCTGCCCAGGCAGGTCCTTGCCCAGGAATCAGCTGGGACCCAGGCACAGGGTAGAGGGGTTGGGGTCCCTGGTTGGGGACAGCTTGGCTCCGTGGACTTGGGGCTGCTCCAGGTGGCAATGTGCAGCCTCTTCCTGCAGCCTGCAGGATGAGTCAGTCCAGTTGGCACAGGGAGGGCGAGGAGGGGTCTGAAAGCCCGAACTGTCGGTCCTGCTTGTTGTCTGGGTGGTGACTGCAGACTTCCCGAGGACTTGCTGAGCAGGGCATTGGCCGAGTCTCCCGATTTGGCTATGTGTGCAGCCAGCCTCTCCCTAACACCCTGCGGTGAGCAGGGAGCAGGTCCCGGGTGGTGGCCCTGGTGGGAGAACCAAGAGCCCTCGGCACCCTTCTTGCTGCCGCCCAGGGGGCCAGGAGTGGGCAGATCAGCCATGGAGGGTGAGGAGCCACGGAGGCCAAAAGAGGAGCAGCACCCCAAGCTGTGTCCTCCCTGGTAAGGCAGGCAGCTCCCTCACCCAGGGGCAGTGGGGCTCAGGGGATCTGATTAGTACTTCTGAGAAATGCCTCTGCCCGCCTCACACCCTGGGGACACTCAGAAGCTGTTGAATGCAAGGCCCAAAACCAGATTCCTCCTGAACTAGCATTAAACAGAACCTGACGCCCAGGGGGAGAGGAGCCAGCGCCCACAGGATTATAGAAACCGAGGTGGGTTGGGTGCTGTACCGGCCAGCTTTCCCCAGTAGGGTCACAGCGCCCGGTGCCCTTCGGCTTTGGGGTTCAGGGGTGCAGTCTGTGGTCGCTGCTGGACGGCACGTCTGTCATAGTGGAGGGGCACTGCAGAGGAGAACTGCGCTGCTGGACCGAGAGGCAGAGCAGGAGGCGAGCACCAGCAGCCGCAGGCCCTCCGGTTCAGTGACCTCCTCCAGCTGGGGCCTGTGCCCCAGCAATTCAGCCATGAGGTCACTGGCCCACGGATGAGGACAGTCACCTCTCAGGGTCTCTATGCAGTTGGACTGAGGGAAGTCGTGCTGGGCACGGGCCCTTTGCAGGCCCTGGAGCTTGAGGTACAGGACCCTCCTTGGCTGCGACAGGCCTCTGGCTCAGGGAGGGGACAGCATTGGGGAGGTGTCTGGGGGGAGGTGCTGCAGAGCAGGCTGAGGTCGAACCTGGACCCCAGCTCCTCTCCACAGCCCTCGCTGAGCAGGGCAGAGGCTCTGGGCTGACCCCAGCCTGTCGGCCCGGTGAGTAGGCCCCGGAAACCCAGGGACAGGAGTCCCTCTGGGCACAAGGCTGCTGAGCCTTGGAAGGCTGAGGCTGAGGGTCTGAGCCCAGCAGCTCCCCCATCGGCTTCTGTTGCCCGAGACGTGGGCATGACACCCCTCAGGCCCCAGCCTCAGGGTTCCAGTCCCAGCAACAGCTTTCCATGCCCTGCTTCTAAGTCTCAGCAAGACCACCCAGGAAGGCGAAGCCCCCCTGCCTGCTGGACCCCTCAAGACCCTGCTCAGACTTGCCTGGCTGTCACCAGCCTGACCATTAGCTAGTGGACACCCTCCCCGTGAGAGTCCCACTGTTCTGGGGGGCCACTCCGGAGACCGACCAGGGCCCAAAAGAGGGCCTGGCCATGGCGAGGGGAGACCCCTGCCCCTTCTGGAAGGGGTCTCATGCCTGGCAATGCTGCTGAGGGAAGGGTGGCTTTGGGCCCACGC